GGATGTTTTTGACCTTCAAGCTATTCAAACCCTTTAAAAACCTAGCCAAAATATTTGAGGCAACAATATAGTTAGGAAGGAGAAATCACTAGGGACAAGACTGTGCTTGCTCACTTCCCTGAAACGCAACAGTCCTGCAGGCACTTGGCTAAGAGATGAGTACAGGACAAGGATCTAGAAAGAAAACCAGATTCTCTTTTTCATTAAGATTTTGCACTCATCAAGCAATGTGAATGGGACTTAATGTGAGTGTGAATTATATTTGCATATCCTTTTAGGTTTGTCCACCTTACTAGACCAGTATAAAATGGCTTTCATGCAAAGAGAATCTGATCCAGAGACTCATGCCTCTCCTTTCTATGGTGCCATTACACAAGTATTACCATTTTGGACAGGCAGTCCAATGATGCCTCTGACCATGAATGTTAATTATTTCCCTAACTTCTGCTTGGATCCTTTCAACAATCAGCTACATGTACACCTTGAAATTTATTTTTTAATCTTTCTTGTCCTTTCTGCTTCCCAGATCCTTGCTGCAACTGTTGACAATGCCAACCTCATCTTGCAGATTGACAATGCCAGGCTGGCAGCTGATGACTTCAGAACCAAGTAAGTTCAGGGCCCCTTGAAGCACCAAGCTGAAGAAACACCAGCACACAAGAATAGAAAGAACTAAAAAGCAAGTCTTATTTGTGGAGCAGTAGCAGTAGGCAGGACTCTGAAGTCTTTTAGTCGCTCTGGCTGGCTAGCTGGCTAACAGCTCTCTAACTGAGTGACCATCTTCCAGGTCCCAACTCCCTTGTCTCCTGTCTGGGATCATCTCTAAACTGTAACTTCTATTACTACATTGATGAGACAGGAATACAGCTTAAAACATCAGCTTGCTTCTGGATTTCTCTTACTTGCCGACTTTGAAGCTGTCACATGCTCCAAAATAGTGTGTGGATCAGAAAGCTGAGGGGTAGCTGGAAGACAGCCTTTTAGCCTCTCTGAATGCTAAAGCAACTGCATACTTGCACAAAAGGACACACTGTTGGAAAAAATACAATGAAAAACTAGGCAAATTTGAGAAGGGAAAGGGATCGAGAAGTTATATTAGCTGACTTATGTCTAAGGTTTCAAACTCTTTTGTGTTTCAAGGTTTGAGACTGAGCAGGCCCTGCGCATGAGTGTTGAGGCTGACATCAATGGCCTGCGTAGAGTCCTGGATGAGCTGACCCTGGCCAGAGCTGACTTGGAGATGCAGATTGAGAATCTGAAGGAGGAGCTGGCTTACCTCAAGAAGAACCATGAGGAGGTGAGGAAGAAAAAGCATAGAAGCAAGGCCTGGGAATTGTAGCTGAGAGCCAGTGGGCATTAGGTCAGCTCCAAGTAGTTGGAATATTTCTGAGCTTTGTGGGTCTTGGGAGGGGATTTCAGTGATTAAGGAAATGAGGAATAATTCACTGTAGACAACTCTTCTGTTGGTCCTAGGTTAGTTACAATCACCTTTTGCTCCCTGATAGCATCTACAGAAGACACATCATAATACTGTGGATAAAAACCCTGAGCTTGGTTACCAGGCTGTGAAGCCACCTGATGTTTGGGATTTTATCTTCCAAACAGATGCAATTAAAACCCAAAGGAAGATTTTTTTAAAGTCTGCAGTCAAAATTTCAATGGGAAGAGCCTTGTTGGATGTGCTGCAGGGGAACTGTACCATTAAGATGGGGATGGCCATAATGGATCTTCCTTTTCGCAGGAAATGAATGCCTTACGTGGCCAAGTGGGTGGAGAAATCAATGTGGAGATGGATGCTGCTCCAGGAGTTGACCTGACCAAGATCCTGGCTGAAATGCGAGAACAGTACGAGCACCTGGCTGACAAGAACCGCAGAGAGGCTGAGCAGTGGTTCTTCAAGCAGGTATGTATCGGTTGCATGGAGAACAATGACTCCATGACACTCCTAGCTGGTGGCTGAGGTTTGTCTGTTGTAGCCAGTGCTGTAACACTGCTGTCTCCCTTATCCCAGACAGAAGAACTAAACAAAGAAGTCGCCATCAACACAGAACAGCTTCAGAGCGGCAAGAGCGAGATCACGGAGCTCCGGCGCACCATCCAGGGGTTGGAAATCGAGCTTCAGTCCCAGCTCAGCACGGTACATAGCATTGACTCCCAAGGGTTGCACCTACACGCACACACAGGCTGCAAATGAAGGAATAAATAATCCCTTTTGTCTTCCCTCCTCCTGAATTCCTTTCCCTCTGCTTTCCCATCTCAGAAAGCCGCCCTGGAAGGCACCTTGGCTGACACAGAAGCCCGCTACGGCTCCCAGCTGGCGCAGATCCAGGGCATGATCACCAGCGTGGAGGAGCAGCTGGCTGAGCTCCGGTGTGACATGGAGCGGCAGAACCACGAGTACAAGATCCTCCTGGATGTCAAGTGCCGGCTGGAACAGGAGATCGCTACATACCGCCGCCTGCTGGAGGGCGAGGATGTCCAGTACGTGAATGGAGTTGACTAGATAGAATGACATGGGGCAGGGAGAAGCCTCTGAACTCACTGTGTTCCCTAGAAGGCTCT